TTTTCTTTAATTTCCTTTTTTATGCCACTGCAACTTTTCAGGTAAGAAAGATGATCAGGCAAATGACTTCGGATTTTCTTGTTGTTGAAATGTGCTATACAAATGAACTTGGCTTGCCTTGGCATGACTGAAAGCCCCACATCCTTAGAGAGCTGACCCTGGTCCAAATTTACAACGAGGCAGCAATAAACAAGGTCACACAGGCATCAATCCCTAACAGTGAGAGAAGGTGGAGACATTTACTGTAGTATTTTAATACATGTCAGTGGTATTGACTTATTGCAGGACAGATATTATGACTGGGAACAGTGGGACAAAGATGCATAATTAGTCCTGTTTTGAGTCAAAATATATGTGGCTTTAATTCTCAGTATAGTTGAAGTATTGGGAGCTGTACTAAGACATCTATATGTTGGCTTATGCGCTTGTGTTTAGTGAGTCTGTGCATGCTCCGGCTTGTGGTATTTATGCTGTTTGGTACTTTTAAAAGAATCCCAAGGTGACATTTCTTTGCAAGGAGTGCAAGAAAGGCCACACATCTCCTTGTGTGTGCGTTTGTGTATGTGTTCGGCAAATGAGTGTTTGCGTGACAAAGGGGTTATCCAAAAAGTCATGGTTGGTTGAGTTTGTCTTTTGTACTCTGAACACTTGAGCCAATTAAGAGAGAAGATTGACAAATTGTCTCTTCCTCTTTCTCCTTACCCACCCCTCCCGGTGTCCTCCTTTCTTTCTCTTTGCCTTTATGCCCTTTTTTCTTATTCTCTTTCTTTCACCATTCTCAAGTGGGGTTGACTTTTATATTTGAAGTGACCTTCCAGTGATGTGAACTTTATAACCATATGAAGCCTACCTCTGCAACAAAGTCACAAACCCAAAGGATGTATTTTTTTTAACTCCCTGTTTTTCAGCCAGGCCAAGATGCCCTCTTTACACCTGAGGGTATAAATCCAAAAAGGGATATTTTCCCCTGACCGCTTTTGTTGTAAGAAGTCCAGGAAAGCTGAAATGTGTTCATACAGTATGTATTTTTCTGTCTCTTTGCCCCCCTCCTTTTATACCATTAACAGTGCTTGGAAAACATTTTTAGGATATTCCATATTGTGTAAAAATTTACAATTTTGGGGAGAGTAATTGTAGTGGGTTGCTTACACTTGGACAGAGTCCATGTATTGAACCAAAAAAATAGATGAAAAATCTATCATAAGTGCAGACATGAGAGGAAAAGCTAAATGAATAAGCAATGAAAAGTTTAAAGGCAAAGGGAGAAGAGGTTGCACTTTTATACTTGGTCCATTAAGGTTTTTCTAGCAGCTCTGCTTTTACATTGTCAATAAACGCAGACTTTCCCTGTTATTTCGATTCCCTGCAGATTGATAAATTACGATTCTGAAAGTATTAGCCGGAGGATTCACATTAGCAGCCCAGCAAAAGGAAAGCTAAAAGCAGATTGATGGGGGGGATGAAGGAATAAATAGGTTTATAAAATGCTGAGCTGTGAGATAGAGACTTTGACAAAGGAACAAGGATGAACACTTATGGGAAAGAGGGATGAGAATGACAACTCCTGGATATACGTATTTCACATTTGAAAGCGTTTGTCTTAGCCGTGCAGTTACAGCTGGTGCATAACAAGGTCAAGATATTCAAATGAGAATAGATTAACCCTCAAAGCACCTTTAGGGAACCGAACGTGTACATTGTACTCGTTTGCTTTTTTTTTGATTCTCAGTAAATCAGTCAGTTTAAAGACGAATTTCATGAAACGTGGCCATTATTTGTTTCTTAATATTACTTTTTAAATGTCATGACCCCCTCTGTTGCAAGGTGAATAGAATCAAATCATACGCTCTGCCCTAAGGTCCAATTTGGTCCCAGCGACCCATTATAACCACATATTTTTAATGTACTGTAATCCTGACTTAATAAAATGCTTTTTTCACAAATACTTTTATTAATCTAAGCCTGTACTTTCAACATATACAGAAAACAGCTTTTTGGTGGGATGACCCCTCCTAACTCCTAGACCTTCATTACATATGGTTTCACTGGAGGCCTGGTTGTCTTTTGGAAAACACATGGAGGTACAAAAAAAATAAAAATAAAAAGCTGAATCATTCAAATGGTGTGTTGGATTAATATGGTGGTGTGTGTGGTGTGAATGATGTTGAGAATGGTGAGTGTGTGTTTGATGCAGTGGAAGTAAAAAATATAATAATTGGTGGTGTCTATAGATCACCAGGTTCAAATATGGAGCGATTTACTGATAAAATCATGGAGCTCTTTAAAAGGAGTTGAAATAAAACTTTTGTGTGTGTATGTGTTTGTGTGTGTGCGTGGGGACTTTAATATTGATTTGGGAAATCAAATTGACTCAAATAATATTTGTACATTTATTAATTCAATGCATAGTTTGAGTCTTTATCCATTAATACTTAAACCAACAAGAATTACAACAAATACTGCTACAGTGATAGTTAATATTTTTACTAATGCAAGAGATGTTGAGGTGATGAGTTGGATTTTGATGACTGATATAAGTGATCATCTACCAGTTTTTGCAATTTGTAAAAATTACCAATGCAGGAAAAAAAAGTAGCTATAGTGAAGAGGAAAATGATAAATACATCAAAAAAGCTTTGGTTAAATTGAAAGATGATTTGAAAAACTAAATTGAAAGGATGTGCATGTTGATGATGTAAACAGAGCCTATGATGTGTTTATGAATATCTTGGAAACTCTGTATGAAAAGAATTGTATGCATAAAAAAATGTTAAGAAAAATCCTGTTGACAAACCACGGATGACGAAAGGGTTACAAAATGCTTGTTAAAACAATAATTACTTGTACTCGTGTTTCTTAAAATTAAGAACTAAAGAAGCAGAAGAGAGATACAAGAAGTATAAAAAACAAGCTGGTATGGATTATAAGACAACATAAGGAATATTATAGTACTTAATAAAAGTAAGAGTGGGGAGTAATGAGTAAAGTACAATCAGGTATTTCACAGTATTTCTTGAAAGTGACAAAAAATATATGAGCAAAATGAAATGGTAAATTAATTCGATGAGTATTATGTGAATGTTGGCGCAAGTCTTGCAGCTAAAATACCAAATGTAAATAATGATGTGAGTCATACAGTCGTGGGTCGTACCAACAGTATTTTTCCTCAGTGACACCGATGAAGAAGAAACTCTGAGTATTGTGAAAAATCTTGCTGATAAAAGATCAAAAGACTGGATGGACATGAAGTTTGTAAAGGATATAATGAGTTATGTTATTAAACCATTTACATAGATATGTAATTTATCATTGTCAACAGGAAAATATGAAATTTGCTCTTTGTAAGAATGATGAGAAATGTGTGTTCACTATTTACAGACCAATATCCATGTTGCCACAGTTTTCAAAAATATTAGAGAAATTATTTGTAACCGGATTAGATCGATTTATAGATCAACAGAATATTTTAAGTAATAGTCAGTATGGGTTTAGAGCAAATAATTCATCATCAATGGCTCTCATGGAACTAATAACTGCTGTTGATCAAAAACAGTATTGTGTTTTTGTTGATTTAACAAAGGCCTTCGACACCACTGACCACACCATTCTCCTTGAAAAACAGAATAAATATGGGTATAATATGGTAGTTTATTTTCTTTTTGATCAATTTGTTTTATTTTGTTTCTTTTAAATGAATGAATAAATAAATAAATAAAAAAGACAGCACGGCAGCTCAGTGGGTAGCACTGTTGCCTCACATCAAGAAGGTCCTGGGTTCAATCCCCTGTTGGACCGGGGGTCTTTCTGGGTGGAGTTTGCATGTTCTCTCCGTGCATGCGTGGGTTTTCTCTGCGTACTCCGGTTTCCTCCCACAGACCAAAAACATGCATGTTAGGCTGATTCAGAGCCAGGCCTCCCTTGCAAAAGAGATCTGTGATCTCAACGGGATGTGCCTGGTTTAAATAAAGATTAATAATAATAATAATATTTATACATGGCATTTTTATTAAACTTTTTTGAGAAGGATTGTTTTGAGTCTTAGGGTAAAACCCCCCAAAATATATAAAAAAAAAAAAACTGGACTTTTTTCTATTCAGTTATTCTAATTGAAGTTTGCTTGTTTTAGTTTTTTTAAACTTTTTTTTTTTAATTGATCATGACCAGGATGACTGAACATCTTCACCAGCTTATGTTAAAATGTGTACTTATTTTTATATAAATTATCATAGCTCCAAAAATAATAATGCATCGAAATCAACGTTGTCATCAGTTATTGATTAAGGCAGTAACAACCTCATGCCAAATATTCCACTTTGCATCTCATTTTTGAAAATATTGTACATTTTGTTTTTTTGATAGATGAAAATCAAGGGTTTCTATGACACAAATGGTATAATAATAAAATTAATTAAATAAAACAACATCATATCTACTTTATAGTAAGGTCTGAAGTTATTGAAACAATTTGATGCAGACGAAGTGATTTTTTTTTAACGCATTACATTTTTATTGGACTTTTATAAGCAGGCCCATTTTTAGCCCAAAGATGTTGTGTATAATTATTTTAAAGGTGCTTCAAGGGTTAAACTTGTGCACAAGTTTCTCTTACTTTTGACAAATTAGAAAAACTAGAGTTCTGATTGTGAGCCTGGTGAAGGAGAGTGGAGGTAGTTGAGTGAAATGATTGTTTGAGCTTGTTATAAATCGCCCGAGGCGTTCCAAACAAACCACTTGCATCCTAATTGGACTGAATTTAAAGTATTTGGAATTTGGATTAAATTGAGAGTGGCTTAGAGTTCTTTATTTTTTAAACCCTCTTTTATGTGTTTATGTGGAGAATAATAACCTCATTATTGCACCTTTCTTTTGTCCCCTTTATTAGGCACATGCAGTGCCACAAACTGCTCTTAGGAAGTGTGTGTGTGAAATATGTTCTGTTTTGCTAGCATTAAGCTCCATCTCATGTCTGTGAATATTTCCTTTTCTTTTTCCTACATCAGGCACACAGAAGATTTGTCTGATCATTCTGAACCAACCCCTTGATAAGGACCACCTACACACCCTCTGGAGTAAAGGTATGCAACTCACACATCATAAAGATAGATCAGACGAGAGCTTTTTACCAAGATGTATTACTTAGATCCTTTTGGTTTGCGCCGAGCATTTATTTCCCAGAGGTTTTAGTGAAACTGCTATTTCTAGGCTATATAGCCAGCACTTTGGAAAGTGTAAAAAGTGCCTTTTTGTGGGTTTTTGCAGTCTGAAAGCTGGGGAACAAAAACAGACTTTGAGTCTACGTGAAACTTAAGCTGAAAACATAAATACTCATCATCCCTAACTACTTTAAATCCTCCATTTTCTCAGGCACCTGTTGAACAAGCCGGATATAAAATTGCAGACGTGAAATGTCTGAATGCTCCGTCTGAAGACAACCCAATCAGCCATATGGTGCTCGTTATATTGGCAAATTGCTGTGAACATGCTTCAGATGAACACTAATTACACAGAATATAATGACTGAGCTGAGCGAAAAAGATGAACGATGCCAGTTTAGACACTACAAGGTTATTCTAATATTTCTTTTCCCCTCATATACATCCATATTTAGAGAGAGAAGTCAAAAGTAGGCTATGGAGTATTATCCTAAAAACGTGTACGCCTTTTTTTGTCCCCTTCGTGGAGCAAAGAGGGGGGATTTGAAATATCCTCTATCTGTATGCCCCATCTGCGAGTGTTACGAGATGCGTACCTTGAAAAGTAAGTGCGGTACCGACTTTCGTTTTGGTACTGGCTACATCTAGGCGTAAAAAATGTCACTGTAAATATTGGGTCGCCAAGTCAAAATCCAAGTGGCCAATACCATGGTTGCTAGTTTTTATATTGCTTTAAAGTAGTTTCCTCAAATGATGGAGGTGGCCCTTGGGGTGGCCGAAGACTAATCCACATTGTTCAAGGCCACCATTGGCCACCCCCTGATGCCACCATTGCGCCTGGTGGTAGATAAAACCTCTCCTTCCAGTTGACAGGATTTGTCTCTCTGCGCTTCCTCGGACAAACAAACAAACACAACAAAGCAAAACAAAAAATAAACATCTATTATTATACAGTGTAACTTCTACCCACTTGAATATCTCACACCAGAAACATTAAGGTTTATTTAATGACTATTATTTTATCACTTTATCATTTGCTCCAAATGATCTCAAAACAGGTCCAATGACAAAAAACAATAAATATATGAGTCAACCATTTAAAAAAAATAAAATTACACTAGTTCAAGTAAAACAATTCTAAAAACATATGTAATATTGGATCATTTTCCTAAATAAGTAAATGACCAAGTATAATATTTTTTGTCTCATTTGTTTTACTGGGTTCTCTTTATCGACTTTCAGGACTTGTGTGAAAATCTGATGTTTTAGGTCATATTTATGCAGAAATATAGAAAATTCTAAACTTTCCAGCACCGTTGTATGTGTATTGTTTAGTAGAGGCATCCAGTAGAGTTGTTGCACTTGAATTTTTTTAGACTTAAACTTTGAAAAACAATTGTTAAAGCAGATAAGATGGTCCTGATTCCTTTGTGTCTTCCCTTTACTTTCTCTAAGGCACTTGACTTTTTCTGCTGTTGCACAACCCAGAAATGGCAGCTAGAACACACAGCTCAATATAAAAGGTCAGAAATAAAATCCTTGCAGGACAGGGACTTCACAATCACATCCATACAATAGTCGGCAGATTACGATTGAATGGCTCTACTTTTGCAATCACAGAATAGTTTTAAAACTCAAGGACATTTTGTAATTGTTGAAAATCAAAGTCAAGTCAAAGTCAACTTTATTGTCAAAACTGCAGTATGTACAGGACATATACACAGGATTGAAATGTCAGTACTCTCGGACCCATGGTGCAACAATAACCATTAAACATTTAATAAACGTTTGCATAAAATAAAGTAATAAAAGTAGGCAAATAAAATATGACAAAATGTGATCAGTCACATCCACATCTGAACATTCCTGGCCCCACATTTAGTGGCAGTGTGTGTGTTTTCAATTCAATTCAAAAATACTTTATTAATCCCAAAGGGAAATTATTTTGTTGTTGTAACTCGTTATCCTCATTTCATTAAGAGATGTTTTAGATGCTGATGCTGTAGACAGGAAGGATCTCTTGTAAAGGTCCATCCCACAGTGGATCCTAAGAAACTGGCTGCAGATGCCGTCCGATCCGTCCACCCAGACTCGGCTGGCCTCTCGGTTCGAGAAGGGGTTATTTGGTCAGTTCCCCCGGGCTGTAGGACCGCCCAAATGTCGGGCGGAACTCCTCCCAGAGCGATGGCCACTCCTCCCAGCAGTCCGCTGAGCTCCTCGTCGCTGCGGACAGCCATCTGTAGGGACGATGGTTTGTAGATGGTTACCAAGACGGATAGAAAAGCAATCATACGTATATGCTGGGAATAAACTATATTTCTTTTGAAAATGAAAAAGAAGCATAAATGAAAAGGTTAAAATGGATTTTATTAAGTACAGATCTCCCTTCCTGAAACTTTAATTATGAGGTGGATTAATGTATAGTTACTTGACTGCAGTGCAATACGTTTGCAAACCTTACGAAGCCATATCAGATTGTATCCCACAAATGAGCTGTTCTTTGAAATCTGGTAAACAGGAGAGAACATGCATAACTTCAATGAAATGGGGATTACTTATTCTTTTGTTTAATCAAGAACAAAGCACAAAAAGTGACTTAGATCACAGGTTTTTAACTAATCTAAAGCCAAGGCCATGGAACGAAAATTAAATGATATAAATACTTTTTTTATGGAAAATGTAATCAACATAATCTGGCGAGAAGGTCTGTAAACAAAATAACTTTAAAGGCAAACTTTTATTAAAACCAATTAAAACAGCTACAGATTGAATTTTAATGAACAAGTCTTTGATATTCTTATCAGCTTAGCATGAACCCAAGAGGCACCTGAGTTCTTTGATTTCTCTGCCATGCATTTCAACATCACAATCTTTATTTTTGCTTAAAACAAGAAGACTTCTACAAATTGGTTACTTGCAATAAAGAAAATACTTTCTTTTTGTTTTACACCACATGGTTTCTGCTCTCTGAGATAAAGATTTTTGTGCATCTGTGAGGAAGACAACTATAAATTTATATCAGAAAAAAAAAAATATATATATATAAGTGGATCAAACAAGGATGGATCTCATCAAAGTTTAAAGCTGTGAATCCACATAATGGTGCATTTCATTCATACTCATTCATACTGAAGACCAAGATGTGTTAGAGGTAGGGCAGCTGACCAGGGACCAGAAAGTTGCAGTTCGACTCCCGGCCATTCCCACATATCGTCGTGTCCTTGAGCAAGACACCTAATTCCTAATTGCTCCCCAGGCACTCAATAGCTGCCCACTGCTCCACCTGGGTGTATCCAAGGTTAACAGACGAGAGGCTCCTTTCAGTTCCAAAAACCCGTCGCAAACTCAGATGTGACAGGGCTTTCCCTGTTGCAGGTCCAAGACGGTGGAATGAGTTGCCACTGCGTGTCAGGCAGGCTCCCACACACACAGTCTTTAAGTCTCACCTGAAAACCCACTTTTATTTCCTTGCCTTTGACACGGTGTGATTTGTTTTGATCCTGTCTATAGTCTACATTGTTGGCCACTTAGTTATTATCCACTGCTATTTGTATCTATATTTTTGATAAATATAATGTAACCTAAAAACAAAATAGTTTATACTAAAGTTTGAACTAAACGTTGTATTGACTTTTAACTAAAATTGTGATATGTTGGGCTACCAATTTAGAATTTAGGCTCAGATGATTTTTAAAACAGTGTTTAGTGATTGTTATTTTTATTTACTATATTTACACATTATACTGTAAATAAATATTCTTCTGAAATGAACACTAGAAACCCTCACAGACTTCTGACGTTACTTCGGTAAAGATTCATTAGGAAATTGGACTTGCACTTTTTGAAGTTCAGATTTATGGATTTTCAAGCATTTTGTCACATGTTTTTGTTGGTTTTTAATCAAAAACTTGTTTTTTCCTTCTACTCATAAAATATTCCTTTTGCCACTGGCATCAACATAAACCAAAAACATGATTAGTTCAGAGTTTACAATATTTTTTATAGTTGGAACAGGGATTTGATTTACTTTTATAGCAATGCTGCCAGCAATTTTAGGGTTTTTCTTAACTGCCAGTGTTTTAGTTACTGTACTCAGCAAATTAGGAAAGCTGCAGTGGTTTACTATATTCTTACAACATTTCTCTGCATTGTTGCATGAGTTATTTTAGTAGTGACGTGTCTAAAGAAGGCTGTCTAACGTCGACAGCTTCAGCTCTTTTTGTAAGGTGTTCCAGGTCACAGGAGCGGACTAAGAGAAGGCCTTTTTGCCAAATTCAGTCTGCACTGAGGGGACACTGCTGGTAATGATGTCTTGAGAGTGCACGCTGTAGCTGAACTGACAACATAACTTGTAGGAGGAGATATATGAAGGCAGCAGACCAAGGAGTGACTTAATGAACTTTTATGATTTTAAGATTTTATGAATCTTAGCACACCGTGGTAGACAGCATCTGCAAGGTGTTTGCAGGAGCATTCATATAAATGTCACCATAGTCAATGGCTGGAAGGAAAGTTGCAGCTGCAAGGTGTTTCCTAGCATTCAGAGTTAAGCAAGATATATTCTGAAAACAAACAAACAAACAAAAAAAAAAAATAATTTCAGTTTCGTTATCAAGTTTTCGACATGCAGCTTAAAAGAGAGATGTGCATCGACCAAGATTCCCAAGTATTTGTAAGAATCGACAAACTCAATAGGAACATCGTTTGTACATAAGATAGAAGAAAGGACTGCTGGTACTGACTGCCTGTTTAAAACGACATCCCTTTGGTTTTATCAGCATTTAGCACCAGTTTGAGATGGAACAAGTCTAACTGAATGATGCTGAATAAAAAAAACTGTAAAAGCTAATAAACCTTAGCAACTGATTTAGCTCCACGATAAGCAACTGTATCGTTGGCATAGAAATTCAAGGATGCATCAG